TTTTCTTAAATGCAAAGGCTCAACACATGGCATCTAGTGGCATTCATGTTTCTATTTGCCTGTCCTTTAAAACTAGTGTTATAAGCACCATAGAAGCATGATAGAATTTGCACACCACTTGAATACACAACAGGAAGTAGCAATTCTGGCTCTATCGTTAACAAACTCACAAAGTCCATTGTTTACTGACTGCTTAAAGTTGATTAATTAGTTCCAATTATTTGGAACATTGCAGTCAAACAACAATGACAAAAAATGTTCATGTCAGAACTCAAGCTCTTCTGTAACAGGGCATATAGTGAAATTCAGGTTTCTGTATTGCTCTTTTTTGTTTTTTTGACAAGAAAAATGCATCACAGAATCTAAGCCTTAAACACTGACATTTTTCAGAAAGAATTGTTTTGTTTCAACCCTTGCACTGAATAGAAAATGAATACTTCAGATGCCCCATGCTTGCAAAGACCTTTATGCCTTTTTCTTGACTCAATAACTCCAGTCTAAAATGGGCAACATTATGCAGCTGAGTGGCTCAGTCACAACAATAAGGGTGCTTAGCACTGGCTGTGGGAAGAAAGACACCGAAAGGGTTAACAGTAACAATTTGCAAATTAAGGCAAGTAAAGAACAAACACATTAGCATAACAAAAGGCAGCCGGAGGGGATTTTTCCTCTCCTCTGTTTGGCACTGAGAACCCAGTGTTACCAAGGAAGGAGGCTGGAGGAGAAAATCTTAGTGGGTACACATTCTCGAAATGCGTAGCATTGTATCCGTTCTACTGATAAACAAAATAGAAAACAGCCCATCGCTGCAGAAGTGGATAACGTGGTCCTTACCAGTAAGGACAGCTAAATCAGATGCCCTCGATAAAGCACCTGTGAAACCCATCCCAAAGATCACCTGAGTAAGGCAGGACTCTACTGGAAGTGGGTTGGGAATGAAGGGGGAGTTGGAAACAATGGCAATGTATGCAATTAATTAAGCTCAAATGGAGCAGATTTATTCCTTCAGAAAATGTGTCTAGCTCGCAGCGGCATTTCCCTTTCAGTAGGTCTACCATGCCTAGACTTACCTAAACGTGGTTTCATAGTACATGTTTAATTTAGACCTATAACTATATTTGTTAATTGGAAAATTTCAGAATATATATATACATATATAGACATATATAGACACATATACATATATATTTCATAAAAATATTATTAGTGGCTTGTATAAAAAATGTTACATTCTTATTTATTTATCTGTAGTTCTGGGGATGAAATGTAGGACCTTGAGCCTATCAGGCAAGTGTTCTATCCTTGAGTAACAGCCCCAGCAACTAATCAATAGATCAATATTTTCCTTATTATGAATAATGGACCAATATAAATGTTTTATATGATTGTGAATTCTTTTTAAGTTTAATACCTCAGTAAGCATGGCTACTCAAATAAATCATGGTGTGTGATGGGGGATGTCCTTCTGTATGCTGTGAATATATGTTTCTCTTATTGGTTGATGAATAAATGCTGATTGGCCAGTAGCCAGGCAGGAAGTACAGGTAGGGCTATCAGACTAGGAGAATGCTGGGAAGAGGAAGGCAGAGAGGAGCCAATGGGGAGATGCCATGTAGTCACCAAAAGAGTAATATGTCAGAGCATTATGGGTAAGTCATAGCCTCGTGGCAATACATAATTTAATAGAAATGGTTTAATAATTAAGAGAGAGCTAGCCAGTAAGAAGCATGAGCCACGAGCCAAACAGTTTATAATTAATATAAGCCTCTGTGTGTGTTTTTTGGGACTAAGGGACTGAGGGACTTAGGTGGGACAGAAACCTCTGTCTACAGGTATGTTTTGTTAATAAATTAGAATATAAAAGGGTGAGTGTATTTAAGATAACATAACATTTTTTGACATGAATACTTGTAGCTCTAGGAGAAGTAGAAGATATCTTCTTAGCATTTACTGACAAGAAGATGACAAGTTGTTATTAAACACTGAGTAGCAGCAAGACAGTCGCTCAAAGAAGATAATAAGATTACCTAAGAATTAGTGTGTACATTTGGTTTTCAGGGAATTATATGCAAGGAATCAGTGGATACCATGACCTTGCCATCATTTGCAGATCGCTAGTTCCCCACTGTCTGTTGACTAATGGGCAACTCTGCACTAAAGTCTTATCTGACCCCTTCCTTCGCAGGCTTTCTGTGCGGGGGTAGGGGAGGGGTCACCTGAGCAAGCAGGCACACTAAGGAAACAGCACAAACAACTAATGGGCAGGCTGGCAGCAAAGTCGTCCCAAGCCAAAGCAGGACGATGTGAGAACACCGGGGTTGCCAATTGCTGCTGAGGTTTCATGGCTACTGCTGTTTTTTGAGCTGTTATGAACCTGAAAACTCCCGTCAATGTAAATTTTTAAAATGCATTCCAAAGCGGAAGTGAAATACTTTTTGGTATTTCATGTTGTAGTTTTTCCACCACAGTACAGAAAACTGAGAAGTGGTCGCAGCTCTAAACCCCTCTGAATATGACCACGACACCCTCATTTCCCAGCTTCTTTATAAGATGGGGAAAGGAGCTAGAACAGAGAGATCATTGATTCGGGAATAATACATCATTCAAGTGTACACAGGAGGGTGTGGGATTTCATGCTTTTTTTTTTTTAACATGAAACTGATATTTCTCAACTACCTGAGTTTCCAGATCTGCTACAGGAATCTAAAGCCAGCTCTTCCCTACCCTGCTGTCACATTTGCTAACTCTGGAGAGCCCGCAGCTGCCCACTTACGTGATGACGGCAGTCCTCGATGCCGCTCCCTTATGGAGTCACAAAGACGCAGGACCCTGGCCAGTCCCCCAGCCTTTGGGCAACTCCTTCCATTCACACAGAGGGAGTGGAACTCTTAGTGACAGTTTCCTCTCAGGTCAGCAAGCAACAGTGATCATCTCCACTCGTTTTCTTTTTCTTTTTTTTTTTTTCGAGACAGGGTTTCTCTGTAACTTTGGAGGCTGTCCTGGCACTAGCTCTTATAGACCAGGCTGGTCTTGAACTCACAGAGATCCGCCTGCCTCTGCCTCCCGAGTGCTGGGATTAAAGGCGTGCGCTACCACCGCCCGGCCACTCGTTTTCTTTTTAATAATTTTAAACATATGTTTTTATTCTTTGAAATTTCATACCATGCCCCCAAATCCCACTCATTTTCCAGTCTCTCCCTATCTGCCCTTCACTCTTATAGAATACCCCCCCCCCAGGAAACCTTAAAAAGAAATAGCCGGGCATTGGTGGCGCATGCCTTTAATCCCAGCACTCGGGAGGCAGAGGCAGACGGATCTCTGTGAGTTCGAGGCCGGGCTGGACCGACAGCCTCCAAAACAATACAGAGAAACCCTGTCTCATAAAACCAAAAAAAAAGAAAAGAAATAATAAAAAATTTTAAAGTACAAATAGGAATATTAAACAACCAAAAAACCAAAACCAAACAAACAAACGCTTTGCTCCTCTGTCTTTCCCGCCTGTCCATCACCTCCCCAAGTCTTGGTTGTGTCGGGAGCTGCTGTGTATCATGCAGTATTCCCTTTTGTCCAAACAGCTTTCCTTGCAAATGTTCATTGTGTAATGTGTGGTTGGTCTGGTTCAAAGCCTTTGGCTTCTGGTCTAACAACAACACTAGACCCTCACTGAATTACCTCAGATATCCTCCTGTTGCCCCAATCATGGAGATCCTGCAGCTGTGGTTTCTCAGGATCAGGCCCTTCACGTGCTCTGTCAGTCAGGGCATAGATGGGCAGATGTTAGGGAGTGCCGACTCAGAGCCCTGGATGTGTGTCTGGATGGTAGCAGAGTTGGTCAGCCTGAGGTGTTGGAACCACCCCATTCTCTCACACCCACAGTACGGGGTAGGGCCAGCTCATCCAGCTCCCAGTGCTTCAACACATTGTTCAATACTTGGTCTGCATGGGCCCCTGTGGCAACATGGACAACGGACATCAACACAGACCTTAGCTACATCAGGACCGCTGAACTAGACTTGACCAGCAGCAGCAGCTTGGGTTTGCATGGTCCTGGGTGGCAGCTCAAGCCTCTGAGATCCAAATGGACTCAGCAACAACATGGTCCCTGGACTCTAAATTGGGCCCAGGTGTTGGCCCAGACCCTGGGCAGCCATGTAGCTCTCAATGGCAATAGGAGCAGAGCCATGGATATACAGAACCTGGCTGTGGCAGGACCAAGGACCCAGGCACGACCGCCGGCTGCAACTTGGACCCTGTCACTACGGCCCCAGGTGGCAGTGCAGGCCACCCTGATCGGTATGGCCCTGGAGGCTGTCTGACTCTCAGGCACCAACATGGCCTCAGGCGTCAGCCCAGACTTCGGGCATCTGAACAGCATTTAGTGGTAACAGGAGCCACGAACATCAGCTTGTACCCAGACACGGCCCTCTGCTGCAGTTCAGGCCCAGACACCTCCATGGCCCTGGGTGGCAGCACTGGTCACTCATCTCAGCAGGCTGCATCCGCTCGTCCTTCCAACCTCAACACGGTCAGGTGCTGACCCAGAAGCCCAGCATCCTTGTGGCCTTTGGGGGTAACACAGACCCTGGCTGCAGAGGGGCCACAGACCCAGACATGGGCCCTTGACGGCAGCCCAGACCCGGATGTCACCATGGCCCAGGGTGACAAGCAGGCCACCCACATTAGCCTGTTCCTTACCTCCTTCACCTCTTCAGATCTGCCCCCTTCACAGGACGTGAGCCACCCTGCCTCTCTGTCTCCCACACACAACTACAGACTGGCTCACCCTAATGACGACTGCCCGGCCAGCCCGTGGTTTCATCTCCCTGGTCCAGGCAAGCAACCCTGGGTGAGAGGTACCCACTGATTTTCTTTTAGCTGAATTTATCATCCCTACTCCATTTTTCAACATGCCTTGCCTTAGAGGTGAAATAGAGATGTTTAGACACGTGGGTCCCTATCTACCAAGGAATAACACTAATTTAGTTTTCCTCTGTTTACAGCTTGGAGAAGTAACTCTTGGTGCGATTGAAAGACTAAGCCACCGTTATCAAAACCCATGGTAAGTACACGTGAATGTGTTTTAAATTAGTTGACAGGCTTCTTTCGTAAGTTAGAGACAGCTTATTTCCCAGTCTTGAAAATCACACTATCGTTTTATTTTTTATTGCTTCATATAGATTTGTGTGGGAGGAAAAACCACAAATTCTTATTTCTAATTAAGAATAAATTTTACTTTCTGCCAGTCTAGTTAGAGAAAGGAACAGAGCAAAGTGGCATAATAAAGAACGTGCTAGATTACAATGAGGAAAAGAGATGTCAGCCTGCAGCTATTAAGACTGGACACTCCTGCCTCAGCTGGGTGATAGCACAGACTTAGTAGACTTCCTAGGGGAGGCCTAACCATCTCATCTTTGTGGAGCAGATGGGAGGAGGGAGGAGTGAAGGGAGTGGGAGGAAACAAGGGAGGGGGAACTGGGATTGGAATATTAAAAAAAATTAAAAAGTCAAAAAAAGACTATACATTGATGAGCAGATTCATTTGAACTTTGTAGGTATTCTTTCTGTGGGGATATACATCCTATCTGTCTGTCTATCTGTCTGTCTGTCTGTCTGTTAAAAAGACCTTATTTCATGATGTTGGCCTAGACACCACAATAATATGTAGCCTTGGTTAATAAACATAATCTTGCTGAAGTCACATAATGGCTTGAATTCATGTTGTCTTAAAGTAACTGTTAACAAAAATTAGACACTTGTAGCTCCAGGTGGGTTAAATTATGGGGAAAGAGCAAATACTACGCTCTTGTCTAAAAGGGACAAAATCCAGATGCCGGAAGGAGCAGGTCAGACTAGAGACGTAATTGCGTCATCTCTACGGATTTGTGTGGATGGGGCTTGGGAAGGGGCACCGTTTTTTCCAGTTTTCATTCTTGAAGAATACAGCCTCTTACCATATACAAAAATACTAGACTTTGTCTCTTCTACTAACATAAAATATATCACATAGAAAGCGACTTCAAGTTCCCTTGTCAAAGCTGATTGGATGGCAGCTGGAAATATGGCCTGGTAGTTCTGAGTAGTTCCTCCTGCTCTAGGAGATGACCTGGGTTGGTTCCCAGTGCCTACATAGTAGGTTACAACCACCCACAACTCCAGTTCCAGAAGACTTGAGGCCCTCTTCTGACACCAAGCACGAGCATGGTTCTCACACATACATGCAGGCAAAGCCTGCATATACATAAAAGAGAATCAAATATTTTCAAAAGCCTATCAGGGACTGTCCAGAAGATCTCACTGGGCAACATGTGTGACTTGCTAGGCACAGTCCCTGCTCCCAAGTGAAACCACATAGAAAGAGTTACACTGAGCTGCATGAAAAGCACGTGTTCTATGTGAAAAATTTCTTTGTTTGAACAGCATTGCTTATATCTACTGTAAATACTTTATCAACTATTTCTCAACAAAGAAAACAGAGAGATGCTACTGAAAATTAGGATACCTTTAACAACTCTTGGTGATAAAAGTGTGAATGTGCTACACTCCTTAGATATAAACACCTTCTTAGAAAGTATCTGAGAAACATTGAAGCTGTTAATGTTTTTCTTAGAGAGAAAAGGTTACCCTTATTTCTAGGGACTATTCTGTGAGTAGTATCAAGTCATAAGGATGCAAAATGTTTATGGAAAAAGTACTTAGGGGATTGTGAATTAAGTTGGGAAACTGAGCATAAACTTAAGAAGGAAAATACCAAAATCAGTCTGTCTGTGTGAATGCTGTCAGTCAGTTTTCTCTTACTTTGACAAACACCTGAGAGATAATCAACTTACTAAGAGAAAGATTCCTTCTGGCTCAGAGTTTTAAAGGTTCTAGTACATAATCAGTTAGACTTGTTGCCTTAAGGCAAAGCTGTATATCATGGTGGAAATTTTGTGGTAGAACAAAGCCATTTACCCAGTGAAGAGAGAAAAAAGAGCTAGGGTCCCCAGATCCAGTTTAGGGTGTACATCCCATGACCAGAAGACCTCTTAGGAGATTGTAGGTGTTGTTTTCTTCTTCTTTTCTCTTTCTCCTCGCCTCTTTCCCCGTTCCTCCCCCCTCCTCCTCCTCCCCCTCCCCCTCCTCCTCCTCCTTCCACTCCTCCCCCTCCTCCTCCTCTATTTTTGGGATCCTAGGGACCAAATCCAGGGTCTTAACCATGACCTCCCAGCCCCTTAAAGGCTCAGGCACCTTACAAACTGGGACCACACCTCTAATGCATGTGCCTTGGGGGATGCTCATTCAAAGCACAGCAAGTGTGAATTAATAAATAGGACCAGAACCAGAGAATTATAGAGAAGTTGAAATTGGTTTAAATGTTGGTAGTTTCTAGATTCTTCTATGACCTCTAGGGGACGTCCTGATTCTAACAAGTGCCATAGAAGACACTTCTGTCTTGTGACGTGAAACACAAGCCCTGCTTAGAAACCTTTCTCCCTCCCAGTCAGTTTCCATGTTCTGCTTTCCTAGGATGGCAGTGGTACCCAAACTCAGCACTTCCTTTGTTGAAAGTCCCATAATCACAACAGTGAACAAGCCAGGCTTAGTGTACACTTTCCTTGTAATGTGAATTCTAGAGAGGATGAGGGAGCATTAAAAGAACTATGTGGCTTTTAAAAAAAAATTCAACATTCAGGCGTTTTGGTTTCTTGGTGTTTGTGTGTATGTGTGGTGCTGGGGAACAAACATACTTTTCAGTTTTCTTAAAATACTTTTTAACCTTAACTTTTATTTTATGTGTACAGGCAGGAGACCATACACATAAAATAAAAGTTAAGGTTACACTATAATCCCAGTCTGTGATATAAAATCTCACTACAAAAAGTATTTAAGAGGACCTTTGGGCAAGAACCCGGGCTATTGAATGCATTGGCACAGGAGACAACTTCCTGAATAGAATACCAGTAGTGCAGACACTAAGATCAACAATTAATAAATTGGACCTCATGAAACTGAAAAGTTTCTGTAAGTCAAAGGACACAGTCAACAAGACAAAATGACAGCCTACAGAAAGGGAAAAGATCTTCACCAACCCCACATCTGACAGATGGCTGATCTCTAAAATTTACAAGCAACTCAAGAAGCTAGTCATCACAACACCAAATAATCGAATTTAAAAATGAGGTAATCTGAGCAGATCTGAGCAGAGAATTCTCAACAGAAGAATCTCAAATGGCAGTGAAACACTTAAAGAAATGTTCATCATTCTTAGCCATCAGGGACTCTGAGATCCCATCTTTCACTGGCCAGAATGGCTAAAATCAAAAACACAAAAGACAGTTTATGCTAGAGAGGATGTGGAGCAAGGGGAACACTCCTCCACTGCTGGTGGAATTATAAACTTGTACAGCCACTTTGGAAATCAATATGGTGGTTTCTCAAAAAAGTAGGAATCAATCTTCCTCAAGACTCAGGATTACCACTCCTGGGCATATACCCAAAGGATGCTCAATCATACCATAAGGACACTTGCTCAACTATGTTCATGGCAGCTTTATTCATAATAGTCAGAAACGGCAAACAACCTAGATGCTCCTCAGCTGAAGAACGGATATAGAAAATGTGGCACATTTACCCAATGGAGTATTACTCAGCTGTTAAAAAAACAATAACATTAGGAAATTTGAAGGCAAATGGATGGATTGAGAAAAGATCATTCTAAGTGAGGTAACTCAGACCTAGAAAGACAAATATGGTATATACTCACTCATAAGTGGATATTAGCTATAAAGGATAACAGTCCACAGACCCAGAAAGGCTAGGTAAGAAGGAATGTCCAAGGGGAAATGCATGGATCTCTCTGGGAAGGGGAAATAGAGGAGATCTCCTGGATGGACTGAGGGCAGGTGGAGATGAGAACCTGACAGATTGGGTTGGGGGATGGGTGGAGGGGGAGAATACTGAGAGAGATGACTGGAAAGGGGGCCTTTGGGGGTCCGATAGAAGCCTGATGCAAGGGAAACTCCCACAGATCTACAAGGATGGTCCCAGCTAGGACTCCTGGCAGTACTGGATACAGAGTCTGCACTGGCCTCCCTTGTGATCCCATTGGTGACTACTCTGGTCGTCATCCAGTGACTGATGGAGGCCGGTTCAGAGACCCACAGCCAAACACTGAACCAAAGGGAGGTGCTGGGCTTTATGGCAGCTTGATATGCCGTGCTTTGCTGACACCCATGGGCGGCCTGTCCCTTTCAGAGTAAATACAGAGAGGTAGATTGTGGGGACATGTGGAGGGAAACAGAGGGGAGATGGAAGGAGGGAGTAGGAGGTGAGGAGGGAGGGGAGTCTGCAGTCAGGATGTAAAATTAAATAAAAATTTTAAATGTAAAAAAATCTGGGCTGAGGGTCGAAGGGTTAAAGGGTTCCTGAGGAGTGTTATGATGGAGATCTGGGACTTGATTGGGCTTTTAAAGAAGGTGGACTGTGGATACATGAAGACAGGAGACAATGTCTTCTGTAATGACGGGCAGGCACACACATACCGTAACTTCATAAAGCATGGTTAATGTCACCAGTAGGCTGCTGGTGAAGAAACTGAATCGTCAAGCGAATATTTTAATCCAAGTCCACTGATTCCATTGACTTAGGCTGGGACCTGGGCTTGGGTGTTTTAAATGGATCTTCCTTACTGCCTGTGTTGAGCAGCCAGAACTAAGAAACCCAAGATCAGACAGGAGAAAGAAGAGGCTGAGCCTTGTGAGCAGGGTTTCTCACACAAGGGCCAGCTGCATGGAAGGCAGTGAAGCCTTACGGCAGGTTCCTGGGGACCGTGGAGGGTGACAGCAGTGAGTGAAGAATCCCAGAGGAATGGTCAACCCAGTAAACAGAGAAAGCAAGGGAAGCAATACCAGACGGACGCTTGGAGTTGTCAGTGTGGGAAGTAGGGTGATTTGAATCAGTGTCACTGAATGTGTGTGCCCATTGGCATAACGGGGGCCAGAGTCTGCTCCGTTTTTGAGATGGACTCAGCTTTGTTTCGTGTCCACCCTCCCTATGAAACATAGAAATATTTTGATTTTT